TATTTATCTTTTAATTAATATTTTTCATTTCATATTAGTCCTATATTAAAGAAATAMATTTTAATGAATTAATGAATCTATTATTGTTTCAAACTTTGGTATACAAAAATGAATGCTGTATTTATAAACTAAAAACTTAAAATTGTTGTACCTTAAAGGACCAAGATTAAAATTATGTTAATTAATATTTAAATACCACATTTATACAATCATTCATTAAAGTTTTAAGTTATATATGTTACCAGAAATATCAACAATTTAAAAAATGATAATAATGCCTTATAATAAAAGGAAATGATTTCTGTAGTTTACACATCACTTTCGTACTCAAAAGCATTGGCGATTATCATGTTACAGGTCATGGGAGACCAGCTTTACAATGTAACTGTTAGAATGATAACTAACAAGTGACAGTGACATTCTTAAAACCATGATCGTCACCCCTCTCCCCCCCCCTCAAGTTTGGCGACAACTATTAATATCCACATTCTAAAAGAATCAGGTGGTAAAATATTGATTAAATGATTGAGTGTAAAATGTCACGGCTATCACATATGTATCATATTTGCAATTCTAAATATCACGGAAGTTTGCAATGTGAAAACAAAAAAATGAATAACTGTTTTGAAAATATAAAAATGCTTAATTACGCAAATCAAATTCATAAAAAAAATGTTTAATAAACTGCTTGATTGTTTATTTGTTAGGATAATAGCAGAGAAATTAATAATCATGATTGATAAAAGTAATATTTAAATTAGACAGATTAAATTTWAATTTTAAAACAAAAAAAAATGTTATGTGTTAGGAAAAATATGGCATCTTTGTCAGATATTGCTAGGATAACATAAACTACGCAATAATATAATTTCATTTTTTTATAAGGAATTATCATTTTGTTGGAACTGTTGTCATTTCCTGATTGTCAACATTTCTGGTAACATATACTTCTAAAATTAAATTTAAGAATATGTTACGCAATTTGTCAATCTCCAAATTTCTTTATATGTACTCATTGTACATATCATTGATTTTTGTGTTTTTATCAAACCTTTAATGAAAATTATTATAAAACTTTAAATAATGTCAATCAATCTTTTTGTTAAATTTTGTTCTATAAGTTATAACTAAGAATTTGTCAAAATGTTCACCATATTTATACCAATATTATAGAAACTAAAATCTAAAATTTTTAAATACTAATGAGTCTTTAAATGTATATATATATAATAATTTAAGAAATGTGATCATGCATATATATTGTAAATTTTATATTAACCTTAAAATTAATAACCACAAATTTTTGTTTCAGGGAATCAACGAAGCTTTTGTTGCCAAACTTTTTGATCCACTGTTGTCTCCTAGAAATCATGCTATTATTGCACTAAAAAAAAATTAAACTTGAATAAAAAAAACTTTATATTTTACATTGATGCTTATTTTTTTATAGACATCTCAATAACACATATTCAGTATCTTACCTATTTAATAAATCTAATAAATGATTGTTGGTAGCAAGGATGGAAGCCAGAATAATTTTTAGAAAATTATCGTTATTTTTATTGATTATTTATGAATTAATATCAAATGCAATTATATGATTTTAATATTGATTAATGGCTGCATTAAAACTGTTTCATGAATCATGAGTATAATTTGAAACCTAATGTAAATCCTACTACTGTTTACAAGATTATTGCTCTTTTTAATTTTTACTGTAGAAAATATGTTCCAAATTTCAACTTTAATATCTTTGCTGAAAGTTAATCTATTTGATACTTTAGGGAGAATGCGTAACTCTTGAATGTGTTAAATTTGAATTCAGTGATATAAGAAAATAAGAAAATTATTCTAAGCGAAGATGGTCTATTTATTTCTATTAGCCTATGCCAGGGATAGTAAATCCATGACATACAAAAAGATATTGAGAGCACGCAGAAAATTAAAATAATTTTATTCCATAAAAATTGACAGCAGACATACCAGAAATCGACCAACTGATAAATGCATTGCTGCACGTCCTTTATTAAAAGTTACTAATTCTACACCAGATATYAACGAATTGGSATTTAGTATTCAACAAAAGAAGTCACATTAAAAAAATAAATAATTTACTAACAACTTTATATTATTATATTGTGTACGTACCTAAACGGCTGAGCTATTCTTTTATGTTAATACATTAACTATACAATAAAATTACWATAATATTTTTCATGGTACGCCCAAAAAAAAAAGAAAAAATGTTTGGCATGTAATGTTCAAAAAAATGTGCCACTCCTGGTCTATGCCTTATAAATAAACTTAAGTTAATTTCATGATATATTTTTTGATTTTGATATCAAATGTGTCATATTTTACTATTAACACTACTGAAGGTTGGTATAATTTTTTCAAAAACCTAGCTTGTATTTATTATATAATTGTTACTCACTTTTAAATCAATACCACCTTACCGTAGAACAATGTAATTATATTCATGTTATAAATACTCAACAGTTTTAAGTACTTTCAATTAAAAATTAATACAATTTTTGAATTATAAAAAAATAACTAACACGGTAATTATTCGTCCAAATTTAATAACTGATAAATCCAAATTGGAATTTTAAATGTTTATGGAAAAAAAATAATATTTATATTAAATTTTAAATTTTTAGTGACAATATTATACATATACTCATATTATCATATTATATTATCTACCTATTTATATTTTATAAGATAATTTATTTTCAATTTTTATCCATAAAAAMTAATTATTTTATACATTTTCAATAACAAAATAAATTGCAAATTTTCATGATGTTGACTAATTATGCTAAAATGAATTTTTTAAATATTTTTTTATGCATAATAGATTTAAGAATAATTTGTCTGGGATCWTGAATAAGTTTATAAGAGGACATATTATTGTTGTATCCATCTGACCGTCTTAAGATGTATAGCATAGCAAAATTACATTCTCAGATATCGTTTAGCTGTTAGTTTAAAAATAAGAGTAAATTGATCTATCATGAAACTTGATGTTAAGAACATTATCTAAGTTTGCAAGTGGGTATTTTACAATAATTTAGTTTTTAAATTAATTTTAATGGCATATTTAATTTACGTTGGATTATATTATGTAATAAACTTWTTAAAAAATTAAAGTATTGTAAGACCCTMTTACATATAATGTAATAAWAGTAATAGCTATGATACCTAAAAAAATATTTGAACAGTAAACATTATAAATATTGAATATAATATAAATTGTATTTAATCGTAACAACGGTATAACTCAAGTTAAAATGTATAATCAATTTACAATTTCAAAATACTCATAACTCGCTTTTAAATTAAAATAAAATAATTGACTAGATAATAATCTTACATTTGAATTTTATTAGAGTTCAATTCACTCTAAATTCTAAGCTAACAGAGCTATGGAACTAAACGTGTTCTAATGAGCTTAAAATGTTGCCATGTTACGCACTTGTAAGACATAGAAAACGGATGCGGATATCGCATCCTCTTAAGCATAATTATTGGCCCAGACTTTCACAGCATTAAAAAAAAATCTTAAAAATATGAAGTACAATACTCTATACATTTTATTTAGCATTGTATAGGTACCTATATTATTGCTTAATCTAAAAAATTTTTTAGCTGTTTACGGCCATTTTCAATCTTBAATAATGTAATATCTGTAAATGTCATATTTATAATAGGTAGCATTTGAGAAATATTAAAATTCTATATCCACGATTTTTTTAAAACATTWAAAGTTAATTCTTAATTTTTTTTCGTAGCTCAAAGATTATAAAATTTTCAATTTTTACCAGAAGAGAAATCTAGGAGTTTAATTACTTTTTAATAAAATGATATTCAAAATTCAACCAATAAAAGTTTCTAACATTYTAATAGACCTTAGGAAACCATTTCCGCCAAGGAGTCAACTATTTTTATTTTTTATTTATTCCCCGTTGTTACATGCTGATCAAAAATAAACTTTTTAGACCAAATATACTTATATCCTAAGATTGYGTAGTTGTATTCTCAATGCAGACAATAACACGTCTTGTTGATCTTCTGATACCTGCAAAATTCCCAGAATGTTAAAAATATATAATTATAAGAATTATAATTATTTTCTTCTATTTTTGTATTAGAATACATAAAACATAGGTACTTATTGAGTATTAAATATTTACTAGTTATACCGTATCCGCTCAGAACCGATTTTTGCATGAAATAATTTATATTATTGAATTCAGGTATTAAATGATAATTTAAATTTTTGAAATAAACTTTCCTAATTGGAAATAAGTTGATATCAAAAAAAAAAAAAAACTTAAGAATTTTGTTATATTTTTCTATAGTTAAATTTAACAAAATAGGTATAGTCCAGACTTGTAAAGATAAAGAATACTATTGGTTTTTAAAGTAGGTTTCTAACTAACTTAAATATTATTGATACATAGTATAGGCTTATGATCATTTTTATTTTATTTATTTAATACATTTTTATTAAAATTTAGAAACATGTTTCAAAAATTCAGCATTAAGGTTAGAATTACTCATATTAAAAYTTTGAGTGGATAATTAATCTTTATTTATGAAATTACTTCACTGGATTTTAACACTGTAAAATCTTAAAAGCACACTTTCAACAGACAGACTCATTGTACACATTTACAAACTACTCAACTACTAACTACTGTCCAGTGTCCACTACATATTACACAAGTCATTAAATAGCTAATAACTTAATACGCTATATAGTAGAACAATATATATATATTATTCCCGTAATCCTACATAACCATGAAGATTGAGCATTGTATCTGTTATTATCAACAGTTATACCTATGAATAATACAAAACGAAATATTGTTATTGAACATATATTTTTAGAAACCTTCTGCCTTCGGCTAACATAGAAACACAGAATATTAAATAAAACTATTATTCAATTATTGTAATTGGTACTTGGCAGTAATATTTTTCCAACCAAATATTTAGAATAAAAATTAATTAATTTAAAAAAAAATCAAAGTGTTCAATACAAATAAGTATTTAATACAAAAAAATATTTAAAATTCCACTCAAAATACTTTATGCTGAAAGTATTTAAAAAGTTATTCAATACTTAAAAAAGTATTAAAATTCTTTTACTCAAATACTTTATAGGACTGAAGTATACCTTGTAATTTGTACCTACCTTTCTTTTTTCTATCAAAGTATTAATATTTTTTTGTGGGGATATAAATAAATTTTAGCATTGCAGTAGACTCATTGTTGTAAAATTATTTGCCACACCACTGCTTACAGTTATGTCTAATGATCAGTGTTGATTTCCATTGACATTGTTACTAAACAGTTGTAATTGATCAGTCATCTAGTACAGGTAGGTACCTACTTCCTACTTATTTTAGTATAGCATTTACGTGTTTCTCCATTTCTATGTAGATATAGTGTAGCACATACTTATACWATACATTTTTATAACCAGGTAATTGTAATTAAAATTTTTATATAAATGTGCAAGTTAAATTATTTTTACTTTTATTAATATAATCAATTATTTTACATTATAGACATTTTGAAATAATTTTCTTTTTTTCAAATATGGACACTGAACAAAAAACATTAGATAATTTCATCAAGAACAGAAAACGGCTTATCAACGATCATGGCTTATGTAAAAAAAGACTGTTGAATAATACGGTCAGAATTGACAAACTTGGTATAAAATTATCATCTGATGGTTCTGTACTCCAAAGCATTAAAAAGCAAAAGGTTAGTTGAAAACAATAWTTAAAGATATATTAAGTAAATTGGCTATTTATATCAAATTTTTTTCTGCTATTAAATGTTTAAAACTGAATATTTTTTATCCAATACCTGCATAATAAAAATCACTCATGTGTAACAAAATATCTAAGAAAACATATTTCTTACCTTTCCATATAAATAAAATTTAAACTAAGTATCAAATTTTAAGTAATTATAATAGAACACACTGTAAACATTTAATCATTATATGAGTTATTAGTTGTAACTTTATAATACTTAAATCATTCATGGTTAGATAGGTAGTTATTTAAAATGTTTTATTTCTAAATTTGATTCATGCAAAGTCATCTATGATATCTTCATGATCTAATGATGACGTTACCTATGTCACATTCTAATGTTAACATTGACAGTGAATTTTTTTTTTAATGAACAATTGTTCATTCTTTAAGGAAAATAAATTCTTTCTTAGAATTTGATGAGACTGAGTAAAAGTCATTCATTTTCTGATTATAAATTACCTTTAGTAGTAAGATTGGTTGAGTGGTATAATTTTCTTTTCATTTACATATATTGTTATTTAGTGGAAACAAAAAATTWAGTACCAACCTAGTTTACTTAAAAATTAATTATTTTCTAAGGCTTTTTCGTAGACACAACATACTTAATTTGCATTCATCATTATTTCAGAGTCTAAGTTTAGTTTAAATTTAAATTTGCGTAATTTAGTAAGAAAATCAAAGAGCTTACCTACAGAATATTTCATACACTTTTCAACAACTTATTTATTAATTAGACAGGGATGTATAGATACTTATAGGGCCATATACGAATTTACGATATACGTGAATAAATAGTGTACTGCAAATAAGTATTAATGTATATCCTAAATCCTAATATATTATAACTTATTAAGCTTTAAGTAAAAAACAATACATATTTAAATTGTAAAATTAAATTAAATACTTTATTTTTCCTATAAAAAAGAAAAACAATACTTTAGTAAAAAAAGGCAGTCAGGTGTCCTCTAATTCCGTCATTAAAAATGTACATGTCTTAAATTAAAATTTTACTACTTGTATGATACAAATATTTTAGTGACTCGTTTATTACTAAATATAAGCCTCGACAAGACATGTTTATAACAAATGAAAAGTTTTATTATTTTGTGAAACATAAAACAATGTGAGTAAAGTGCTAAAGTAGAACTTCAATTATCCAAACTAATTGGGATGGCACATAGTTCAGAAACTTGTAAGTTTAGATATAGAGAATTTGTTTAATACTATATAATATAAAAATGCATATTATATTTATATTTATAATTTATTATTATTATTTAGAATATTTAATTCTTAAAAATATTAATTTATCATACATAAATACATGATTACTTATACAAGCGCTATAATACTTAATGACATTAGGATAACAGTATTCACATAAAAAAATATAACAATTGATATTTGTTAGGATATTAGAGGGTTCATAAAATCAAGGCTCTTCTGTACACTGTATGTTTAAGTCTTATTTGTACAACAAAAAATTATTTATAACGTATGGGAAGATAACAGAAACATTAAATAGATGGATATTATTTCATAAATATTTTTTTATTATTATTTTTAGGTTGAAAATGATGTAAAAATTAAACATACAATGCATATTTCTAATGCAGCTACTAATAATATTTTAGGCGAAAAAGAAAAAAAAAATGATATTAACCAAGAGAGWGCTATAACTCCTGAACAATCGCCATCTACTAAGGCCCAATTAAGACAAGTATGTATATTACTACGCATTTCTGTCAWTATATAAATGTTTTAAAATGAATTTATTATAAATTAAAATTATCAATATTTTATTACATAATGCATTAATTTCACCTAAAATTAATGTTAGATACAGTTATAAATAAGGAAAGCATCTAAATAAATATGTACACTATATATGATAATTAYAATTTGTTGAAAGCGTAATTTAGTAAATAATTAAAGTCTTTAACAACAAAAAATGCTAACAGTACATATTTTTTTTTAATTAAGTATAACGAATAGAACGCAAAGTTATTATTGTTTACAAAAGTGTATGGCGGAAAAAGAAATTGTATACAAGATAAGTGCCAAAACAATAATCTCTGCTAAATATTATTATATTTCTTGTTTGTAATCATATTGTTATTTAACATTTCTTAACCTGTATTTAATTATTATTTACAATTATACAATGTTTGGACATTATGTTACATTTTCTACAATGATAATCAAAATTTGGCCCTGCTAATTAGACTGTGCCAACGTAAATACCTCTSAATAAATTTTTATTTTATATTGTTATATCTATTACAAATATATAGGTACATTTATTTTCTAAAGGTCAAAAGTTTTAAGAATTTTATTTCCTAAAGAAGCCATAATATGTTGTTTTTCAATGAAAAAATGTTTATAAATTCTATCACAAACAAGTAATATATTATTTTTTGAAATTGCTTTAGATTGAGTTGGCTGGTTTTAGTCTTTTTTTGACATTTTAACATTGATATAGTATATAAGTAATAAGTATTCAGTATTACTAGTATTAGTGAGAGTTTATAGGATGAAACATATTGATTTTTTTTAAACCAAGATAGAATAAAGGAGATAATAACAACACTGAGTACCTAAGTATGGGTTAATATTAATTTGATATTTGATTACCATTATATTTAATGTCTATTTATCTTAAGAAATTAAGTTTGGAAAAGGAAAGTGGACAGTTTTTATATAATGAWTTTTTTCTTATTTTATTAAAGTAAGTCTACAAAATATAAAATTTTTTATAATGAGTAGGTTTGATATGTTATAAAAGTAATAGCTAACAATGTACCTAAAATTAAGGAGGTTACCCAATGGTAACACCCCACAAACAAATAAAAGTAACCAAATAATATAATTTAAAAATTATAAGTAATTAATATGTTGTTTTATTACACTTAAAAATTTTGAAAATTTTATAAATAT